AAAATAGGCCTCTTATCTATTTCTCCTCGTCCATCCTAATGTCTAATTCTCTTTTCTCTCTCTCATTTTGGCTGCTTCAGAGAGAAATTCTTTTTCTTGCAAAATTTCATAGCTGTCAATGATTTGAGCGCTACGTTTTGTAAACATTTCACTTTTTTAAAATGCATTTGCAGCAATAAAGGACACCTCTCTATCCATTTTTCTATTCCATTTTTTGCAAGAATTGCATTTCAGATTTTCCATACTCTCCTCACTCTCTCCTTCTCCCTTTCGTTTCTATCTATCATCATTCTTCACTATTCATCATATTTCTTTTCATCTTTTATCTACTAATTTTTATGAATAATTGTATGGGAGATATTTATCATTCACTAATCACTTGAATTTAAGTTTAAACATATTGAAACATTGCTATTTTCACTGTGAATTAAAAAGAAACTATACACTGTAAAATGTATGCATTCTTTCTTTCCTGAGGGTACTAAGTTCCAGTTTTAGTCGTCATTGAAATAACTCTATCTTACTTTTGTAACTGAAATTATCTGGGAAATATTAAAATAATTGAAAGTCACCATTGAACGATTAAATTATCTTATTCTTTATCAAAAACATCTGTTTCAAATTTTCACGAAACAGTTTCCTTAATTTCTTTGATCATAAATAGTAGCATTTATTATTGGTCGGCGGTCTTGGTAGTGGATCGCTTATAAATGTAACATAATTGTACAGCGCTCGAAACACTTATTTGTGTTATTACTGGCTGTAAATAATCATTTGAGAGAAATGATAAACTGACGGACTGATCTCATTGCTTTCGCACTTCCGAGAATATAAGAATTGCGGTGATACTATAGACATCGTCTATAACTACTTTTCTCTTATATCAGTAACCTCTAATTTTAGATACTTTGTTACTTTTTTTGTTTCTTCTTTATTATCATTAAGATAACTATTGTTTAAAAAAAAACAAGTTTTTGACAGAAATTTATTTACCTTTCAAATTTATCATACTGAAAACCTCTTCTTATCTGTCTTTTTTTTAGTGCAGTAGTGGTTTCTCTGAGTTGAGCCATTTTACAAAATCAGTTAATCGATGCAATTTTCAATTTTGTTGTAAAAAAGCATCGTTCCTAACTTCTCTCCTCTTATTTCAGTAACCTATACGATTATACTATTTTAAATAAAAGCAATTATTTGATGTTTTCAATTTAATTCAAATTAATTTCTTCAAATACAATTCAGTTAAAATGATGAAACAATGGATTCTTACAATGGTGTAAAATCCAAAAAAAGAAATAATGTCAAAATTGGGAGAAAACGATGAAAATGCCTCTTTTTCTTTTCTTTTTCCCTGATACGTTAGCTGGCAAATGGATTGATTATCTTTAAGCTTTAAATTTTTGGGTTCATAAGCATTCATTTGAATTAGGAAGTATAAAGTAATGAAATTTCTTCTGGATATAAAATACATATGCCTGCGAAATACATTCCAAATTAAAGACTCTCTAATATTGTAACTTAGATATTTGCATGGTTGACGGATCTTATAAATTGAAGAAAAAAATCCATCGAACTGTTAATAACATTCCTAAATGGAAGGCTTTCTTATCCGATCCATATAACAAGAATTCATAATTCTTATCTATCAGAATTTCTCTTTAGATTTCGAGCAGTAGAAAGGATTGGCCCGTAATTTTAATGATTCATCGTGCAAGCGTGTTTTCTTCATGCAAAAACATTTGTTAAATCGATTGAGAAAACGACAAAATTCTTGCACTATTAACTAATCATTTATCAGTGTAAAAACACGCATTGTTTGCTGAGAAAGCGCATTCATACATTCTGATCATTACTTTTGGTTTCTTCTTATCATGAAATTTCCTCAAAATTAATTTCTGAAAGTTTATTGCATTTTCAAATTTCAAATATGCACAGATTTCTTATTTTGCTATAGCAGAATTTTGTGTACTTATGTATGAATCATTATAAGTTTATAAAAATGGCTTGGATAATAATTTCAAATTGCTTAGATGTAAATAAAGTCAAGTACAAGCTAATCAGTAATGAGACAAGTATTGCTCTGCTCGATCTTTCCTCGTCAACGTCAGTAAAAACATTTACAGCAAAAATGAGCACTTTTATTTTTCCGTTTTTTTCATTCATTTAACAATGTTTCTCATTCGCTCGCTGCTATTTCACTGCTCAATTCACCTGTACTTTTCAAAAAGTCTACAGTCTTTCATTTCTTTCATACCTTTTCTCTTTTTTACCAACAAAAGATCTGTAAATTTGAAGGTATCAAAACAAAAAAAATGATTCTTAATATAAATTAGAAAAGCAAAGTTTGAGAAATTTTAATTTAAATGTATCAACAAGATGTGATAAGATTAATAACAAATGGTGAATTTACAAACCTCCAATATAATTTAAATATCTGTTGTATACTGAACAAAATTAATTAACATTTTATTGCGCTACATATCTCTATGATAATAGTGAAAGTCTCTCTGAACCATAAAAATATGTTTTTAAATCTTTAAATAAACGTGTAAAATTTCGAATAAATTCTAATTGCAGTTGTGCTAAACTTTTTATGATGAAATTATTTGCTTGCAAGTAATTATAAAATTTGTCACATAGATTTATCATTTACAGATAAATCAAGAAACCTACGACGATATTTATAACTGTGATATCGGATCCACACGTAGCACTTTCCAAATGTCTTATGGCGAACTTAAAGGAACATTTGCGCCTGGACCCTCAATTTTTGTTTCTGTAAGTGATTCAATTAATCGTTTTTGAGCATAATAATAAGTGATATCTCTCTGTAATATTCTTTCTAGAACTTTTTAATTTGTATATTCTGCAAAACCAAATCAAATATCTTAAAATATCAAAATTTCATAGGGAAATATGTGTATGATTGAATAAATGAGAGAAAAAAAAACGAAAAAAATTATGTAATAGAACGAAACAAACAGGTAAAGATCCCTAATATGAAGTAAATAGGTAAGGTGAATAAATGTGGAACCATTAGGTATGAGTGAACAGTGTGAAAGAAGTGAACAAACATGTAACCTCGTACAGTAATGGTATATTTCCACTTCTATAAAATTATTTTTGTGGTAAATAAGTTACAGATATGGAATAACGCAGAATTTCTTGCATTAATAATTTCTTACAATTATATTATTTATATTATATTTATAAATCTAATTTGATACTTTTTAGTGAACATTAACTAAGACAATCTTACGCTTCCATATAGATAACGTATCAGTTCTTTTCGCAAAAAATTTTTTTAATATTGTCTTCAAATGGTTCAAGTTTTCTTTCAAGTAAATAGAAGGAAGTCATTAATTTTCCCTTTAAGGAAAATTCGTTTCATTAAAATTAGCTATGGCTGTTTTTCTTTTATCAAAGGAATGATTTCGTTTAGTCTTAGACGTATGGTACTTTGTTAAATGATTAATGATGATAATTGAATTACTTGATACATCAAGGAAAAAAATGCTGCAATAAAAGAAATTGATCGAGTATTCATCACTGAGCAAGCTTTTTGTATTTGAAGTTAATTATCATAGCTGTTTAACCCATATCATAGCTTTTCATATAATCTCAAAATAAAATTGTAATAATTTGTTGATAGAAGAAATGAAATATCATCAAAAGTTCTCCTTTTTTATATTTACCCATTGACGTATGTGCGAATGAATTATGTATTTTGTGATGATATTTCTACAGCTACTTTTCTATACTTTCCCATTTTTGTAAACTTCATGTTAATGATTGTTAGAAAAGAAAATATTTGTACATTTTCTTCCCATTAAAATTCTGAATTTGAAAAGAGAGAAAGAGAGAGAGAATAGATATATCAAATTTGGCTTATATTAAAGCAAACTAAAAACATTAAAATTATTATAAAAATCTCTATTGTGAATGAGAAGTATAAGATGCAGACGAAAATGAGAAAGTTTTGTATCGATTGGAGAAAATTTAATATAATAATTTTTGTTTATCAAATTTTGTGGCGAAAAATTTATTTTTTTTTAATGGAATTTATTAAGAGAAAAACAAATTTGTTGTGGAAGGCATTGAAAAGAACACCTTAAAATGTACTGTAGCATTTGTCAGTTTCATTGCAATTAAATTTGATAAGATTTTTGTTAATTTCTTTTAGCTTGCGAAGGAATAAACCAGTTAGTGAAATTGAATATTTTCGCAATTATTGGAAAAAAACTTAACTTCTGGTTACAAAAAAAATTTTTTGTACAGATTTTTTTAAAGATTTCTTTTTGCCACTAAGTTCAGAGTGGAAAAGATGGAAAGAGATGAAATGAAGAAAGATTCATTAAATTTATATTTCTTCAATATCGGAGGAATCTTTTAAAAATATTTTGAAGTAGTAAATTCATTTTATACATTCTTTATATAATTTCAGGGTAATTAAATGTTCAAAATTCAGTTGATTTCCTTTTTTAGAAGATTTATTAATTATCTTACAGGATATGGTAAAGCAAAATGGAGAGATATTGGGACCGTTAGAGATTGATGTCTCGGAAATAACTGCTACTGCATACGGTTATGACCCAAAAAAATTTCAACGAGAAAATGCTGAGTCATTACGTCATAGGTGCCATTTGTTTAGGTTTTATTAGGAAAAAATTGTTAATTAATTATCAAAAAAAGTCATTCCAGTTTCAAGTTTCCAAATTTTTGAATATATTGATTAGTTAAATAGAATTCATTGAATAGCTGATATTCTTGGTTATCATATTTCTCTTGTAAAGTGAACTGTAATTCTAAGTTTTGCTCTTTGCTACTATTTTATTATTACAAAATAAATTGTAGATGGAAAAGAAGAAATGATGACATTTTTTGCTAACAATTAATTATCTCAGTCCCATTTAGATTTTAGAAATATTTTAGGGTTTTAAGATAATTATTTTTTCTGAAATTTTTTCAAAAAAAAGAAGCTAAATTAAATATATACTAGAATGGCGTTAAGTGATGGAGCAGTGATAACAATGTGTAATTCATCGGGAGCAACATTGAGGTCAACTACATCAAAAAGTAGTGCTAGTGTTGCTGGTGGTTCCTTTAGTGTTTGTCCAGCTCGATTGAATCTCAAAAGCAAGGGAAAACCGGATAATGTATGTCAATTAATAACAATTGCTGATCAAAAAACATTGACCCGATCGAGAGCGCCATATCAGTAAGTTTAATAATAAACGTTATTCATATTATGGACCTAAATCAACCAAAATCAGAAAAATAGACTTTTTCTGTAACAAATATTCCAAATATCGGCTGGATTGATAACAATATCAATATTTCAGGAAAAAAGTGAAATAGTTCTTAAGATGTGATTCTACTTGAATTCTTCATTTACTATCAGTTGTAGAGAGGATGTATTGCTTTAGCATTCTTAGTAAGATTATCATATATTCATCTAAACAATACTGTAGTTCAAATTGGTTTTTTTTTTGATATGCTTATGTTTTTTTGATATGCCCATAATAACAGATAATGATACTGAATGTTCATTAAAATGGAATTTATGTAAGCTCAAGTTATTTGAAAACAGTTTATATTTTGAAAAGCTCAAAATTGCAGGACAAGAAATGAGAGAACACTACCGAAGGGCCGTTCGGCCAGTCTGACAACATTTGGAAATGTGCATAATTTTAATGGTGATAATTCTCGTAATACAATGGCAGCTGCAGCGATATCCCTGAAACAGTTCGCATCTCAACTTCGATCACCACGATTTTTCGAACCTGTCACAAATTTGAAATGCTTTGTACCATATACACCGCCGCCCATGTTAAGTCCAATGAGACGAGGCTCAGGACTATTTTGGAAAATTTCACAGACTCCTCCATCAAAGGTATTTATTTATTAGAGTACACATTTATTCTCGGATGTTATTAATTTCTTGCAACAATAAATCTGTGCATGCAATTTGCATACAAAGCATTTAATCTCTGAATGACAATGTGTTCGTGCTAGGTTTAATCTTCCTCTCTGTTCACTGCAAATGTTTCGAGGAGACCTTTGATTTCTTTATCCAATGTTTCCTTTCAGTGAAATATCTAGTTTACTAAAAAATAATTTGAAATTAATTCTGAAATTCGAAATATGTAATTCATACTTCTGACCTTATCATTTATAGGTCAGCATGCTACAATCATCACAAGGAAATAATAATTTTGATAAAGCAGGAGGTAAGAATTTTAAAATATTAGAATTTATTTAATTTTTATTGCTAAATTGTAATTATCTGATTTCTACTTGTTCATTTATAAGATTTCCTGAAAACATCACATAGTTGCTTTAACTTGTAACTTTCTAGTTCTACCGTTATAATATCTCAGTTTTTAAAATGAATATCTATGAGGAGAATGCATCCTTGAGATCGGTTTATTTAAACATATATTGCTAAAAAAGTGAGGGAAGAATGATTAGAAAACATTTTTTTCTTTTAGTTGCAGCTGCTATTTCGATTCAATGCAACAGAAAGCAGAAATTATTTGATTCAAATAAAACACAAGCTATCATCATATTTTCGAACAAAAAACTGACAGAATTATTATATTTAGAGATATTTTATAATCGTAAAACGAATCATAGCACATAAATGAATAACGATGAGATACTACTGTTCATGCAAAATATTCTCCTTGTTTCTCTCGAAATCATCCTGAGCCCTGATAAATGCGATGATAAATTCTGTTTTTGATTATAGCCAGCGATAGTCATCACGAAAATGAAACAAACGAGGAACCAATTGGAAAACGTTTACGAAGATGCAATACGTCAACACTGCAATCGGTTAAAGAGGGTTTTACAGATGAGGAGCAACAGGAGATGCGGACACCGATTCGGAAGAATGGATTCTGTTATTCATCTCAATTTTTCGATGTATGTTAGTCCTTTTTTTGCAAACAAATTCCTAAAGAGGTAATAAAAAATGAATGTAATTTGCTGTTCAGGTTTATAATAAATATTTGTTTTTGTCCGAAAAGTCGGCTTAGAAAATGAAATGATAAAAAATTATGGCATGATGATTGTTTTGATTTACTAAAGCAGCGTTAATCTGATAAAGCTTTGCGCTGATCAATGTAATGAATCCGTTTTACGTAGAAATTAAACCCATATCTGAGTTTTAATATATTTATTTCTTTCTTTGTTATTTATGAATTCACTTACTTTGTGAAAGATCATTTGAATTGAAGCAGATTTTTTATAGATTGGATTACCACACTTGGAAGCTTTACGAAAAGAATCGGACATTTCCTGGAATAGTTCTAGTTCATCGAGTATACCTTCTAGTGCAGTAAATTTACCTTCTCCTAGGTAATTTGATTTTTTAAGATTTACTTTTTCATTTTGGAAATTGCACCATTGTACAGCATGTGCAAGAGTGTAATATGTTGAATTGAAAGACTTTATCTAATTATCGTTTGTTCAAAATATTGCCAGTCGACAAGTGGTTTGAACATTATAATTTTGGGGTGGAAACAGGTGAAGAAAATCAACATAAATTCAATTGTTTTTCTAAATACTGACTCATATAATCAGTTATGGAAGATTGTAAGGAATCTGTCATTTCACTTCCATTCAGTAATAAATTTATGAGAAGATTTGCATTGTTAATCTCCCTGTTTATTGTTTATTGATTACATTATTATCTTCGCACCTTTTTATTGCAACTGTCGAGATGAATTATTTGGGCATATTTTACGATCAACCTTTATATAAAAGTGGTCAATAATGCTGACAACCACTTTCAGGAAATTATCGGTTTCATTGGATGATGAAGCTCTAAGAAAGACTTCATCATGTTCCGATTTCGGGGAAGAAATTTACATTGCTCCAGAATCCGATGCTGTACCGTAAGTTATAAATTTCTTTTTTTAAAGTTATATAGGAAGCTGCTGAAACATTTGAGTTTTATCCTAACTCAGATTTTAGAATTTTTTTTTTCAAAAATCTTCAGTCTTTGAGAGATTTTATCTTTGATTATTTTATTATTTATAGACATATTAACTGTGGACGTGACTATCAAGTAAAGGTAAAAAAATGGGCTGATCGAGCGATAAGCGATGAAGAACGTGATGCTATACCTGATCGCGATGATGCCATTTTCGATTGTAATATCATTGATCATCTAGACGATTCTGCTGGTATTATCTTTTAATTTATAGTCTTGAGAAGTTGCAATTTATGATAAATGATAAGAAGTTCTAAGACCAGTCGACAATCCTATCTTCAGGTGTTTCTAGGTGCTCTTACTTTTGTGATAATATAAATTGCTGGTGGTATTTTTTTTTCAGTTGAAGCCTATGAATTGTTATCTTATAGCAAAGCAGTACCACGGCCAGGTAGGAACAGAGAATTGGCACTACATTTGCTAATGGAGAACAAGGTTTGCATGTGCTAGATTGAATAAAACTTTCGATATTTCTATTAAATTCTCTTTATTGATCAAGCCGTGATCGTGCATCTTTTTTCTAAATATTCTAAATAATTTATACTTCATTTTTTCGTTATCTAGTACCATATTTTTCTTTTAAATATCAATATTTCCTTGCACATATTTTTAAGGGAAATATTCAAGAAGCTGTTTTGGATTTAATGCGATCAGATACGCTAGACTGGAGTCAGTACCCGATTATTTACAATTCGATATACACTGATACAAATTCTTGGACGCCGGAGGAAATCAGTTTCTTCCAAGATGCCATTTATAAAGGCGAAAAAGATTTCCATCAAGTAGCATCAGACGTTAGTTTTATTTTTAATATTACGATGAGATTCAATTTAATATTACGATGAGATTCAAAAATATATTAAAATGTTATAGCAAGACTATATTAGCGATCTATAATGTTACTCTGACTTCATGAGAATATCTCCAGAAAACGAATAAAAGGATATATGTAGTTAGTTCAAATTCAGGCAAATATATGGTCATGCAACAGTTATCATGAATCTCATGTACATCACTTGCAGTTCTTTCATTTTTCATATCAGATCTCTTCATGTTATCCGTTTTTATGCATTACAGTTGGGCAACAAAACAGTAAAGCAATGCGTGGAATTCTATTATATGTGGAAAAAAGCATGTCCGGACGACTATCGAAAACTAAGAAATTTGCGACGTAAACGTCAGTTGCTGGAAATGCAGCAACAGGTTATTTATTTTACCGTAGATGTTGTTTTCTAACATAGTGTGCTAAAATATTATTCGCAAATACATTAAAATATTTTCCTTCTTATCATAGTACATGAACCTCGCTATCATTTAAACTAAAAACCTTATAAACTTCAATTTTAATTTCTGGTTAAAATTTATTTAGCTTGACTTGATGGAAAGTTACAATCTGAGGTCGAACAGTCGACCAGCCGAAAGTGGCGAATTGTTGGGTTTAGAAGAAGGAAGTGATCTATCTGCGATTTCACATGACACGGAGTAAATCTAAGTTCTTTCTTTTATCTTCGTAATGTGATCCTTGCAATATATGGAGAATTTTTGATCTGCAAATAGTATATTTTGAAAATGAAAATTGCCAATTGCGTAATTCTTAATGCTTTTTTGCTTTTGATAAGTTGTCTATATAACAGCGTATGCTTACATCATATTTTGATACCACAAGTTTACTAGAATTAAAAACGTGTCGTAGAATCAGTGATTGTTAGCAATAGGAACGAAATGATTTTGTGAGGGAGCTAAAAGCTATAAATAGAAACTTTTAACTTGTATTTTGTTATATTGTAGTAAAGACATTATATATTTTTTCCCCAAAACTCTTCATTAGTAGCAGAGATATTACAAAGTTTTTCAGCACAATTTTAAAGTTTGTTTTGTTTTAGTAAAATGAAGAGTGAACATTCGGTTAGGAATACAAATTGTTCGGCGATAGCACGAAAATACTCAATGGCAAGATTTGGAGAACTGCCACATTCAAGAATTCCGTCTTCAGTGATTATGGGAAATGATGCTATATCTCGATCTTCTTCCCAAGTAACACGGCAATACATCCCTTATTACATTTTACATTTTCAGAATATATAGTCACTCAGACATTCAAGTAGCTATGAAACATTTTAGTCTCAAATTTTTAAATATACTAGGCAAAATTTTTGGATTCGGAAATAATATTGTTCTCAAAGTTTTCACAACAAGGTTTCGGCATCAGGACTTTGTTATGAAAATTATAGTAGGCAGTGTTTTTAAAAAAGCACTCGTTTTTTCTTATATAAATATTTGTAAAGTGAAACCTTAGTTTCTGTCCACATTATTCGTGTTTGAAATCTTGGAGATGCAAACAATGCACGAACATTTTTAATTTACACTGATAGCGAATACATAATAGCATATTAGATCACTTACTACTTTCTTCTTTTTGCAGTTGCATCGAACACCAATTAAAAAAGGTGCTCAACCAGCGGCTGATGGCTTCTTCCACTGCCGCCTTTGTGATAAATATTTCGAAAAGGTAAATTTTTGTTTAAATAAAAATGTGTAATCGTTTTCAATTCATCATCTCATTGAAAGATTGCAGTGATCGAAAGTTATTGCTAAACTACATTTTTATAAAACTCAGATAGTATTGTTTCAATGCTGTTACTTGTTTTGTTTGACTTCCATCAGTAATTCAAGACATTAAATGATTTCTTTCTTTTTTTTAGGTTAAAAGTTTGAATGCCCATATGAAATCGCATGCAATGAAAGCACGAGCTGAAGCTGAAGCGGCTCAATCACAGTTGAATTTGCAACATCACGACAATAACGCTAAAACAACTAATGCTAGTAATATTATTGAAAAAACGATATCAATAAAAAGCTCACCAATGACTGATTCAATGTCGTTTGTTCATCATCCTCATCATCAGAAGGAGCAACAACAAAGCTCGTTGAATATCGATCCACTGAAATCCAACATCGAGAGATCAACTATGCAAGTAACCAATAATTTTGCTGCTGCTGCTTCAACTACAGCAGCTATTGTTGCTTCAGAACAGAATCCATTCTGTCCAGTTATCGCAAAATCAGGAGGTAGTGGAAGGCTGGGTCAGGATCTTTTTGTGCAAACGTCTCTAACTCCGGAGCATCATCAGTTCACCCAGAATACTCTGATGTCCGGTTCGTTGGGTCTAGCAGCCCATCAAGCTTTAAATCAGTCTCTTACTGCTGCCAGTGTTCTCAATCAGTTTCCACAAGCTCAAGCATTGCAATTTTTGAACAATTTACAAAATCCAGCTATTACTCATTAACTTAGTTAATTTTCTGAATTGTAATTTGTTAACTTTGTTACTAACATTTTTCATTTCGTTCCTCATTTCTCGCCGCTGATTATTTTGCCTCTTTCGATTTTTTTTAATCGTCATGTAAAAATGTAATAGTGTCCTCTTTTACTTTCGGATAAAAAGGATCAGGTAATTTTAAAAATTTTACCATAGGCGTAAATTTATTTTTCCAGAAAAAATATTTTGAGAGGCACACCTAATGGAAATTCCAGTAGACATGAAGACATTTCGATCTCTTTAAAGAGCAAATCGATTGTAATATTTTGAAATTGATTATACTAAAAAAAAAATTAGTCATGCAATTATTGAGGACAAATTTTTCAGCCAAATTTGGAAGTGAAAAAAGTAAGAATAAAATTTCTCTTGCATAGCTTGAAGAAGTTTTGGATATTTTTGAATTTGTTGTCAAGAAATATTTCTGAATCTGTTGTCACTAAGTTGGTGCATAAGTTCAAATGTTTCTTTATCAGATCTCTTTCAGGGATATTTTGAAAATTAAAACATTCATTATGTATCATATTTCTTCTTCGTTTGAAGAATTTTGAGTTTTTTTCAATTTTATTCAATTTAGGATTAGAATTTATCAAAAATGTAGAAAACAGGATTATATGAGATTTTATAGCACATAAATCTTTAGTGGCAACATAAATTAGCTTGTAACACAGGGACTACGGTTTAAAATTATTTCTCCACTTTTTACGTGAAACTAATAGACATTCACTTTTGTATTTCATAGCAACTGTCAAAACTTGCTTATTTACAACATAAGGTTTTCAAGTATAGAAGAAATGTCACCATTAATGTTAATTATTAGTAATTATGCCAGTGAAAGTTGTCCAACGAAAGAATCTGATCCATAATTTTGCATTTAGTGATTAATGAGAATGACACTGTCAACTACAGTTATGGTTTTAACTTAAAGACGATAGAAATGCATTTATTCAAGTATATAAAGGGATGGATTGACTTATCATCTTCTTTATGCAAAATTTGAAATTCTTTAAACGGAGCAATGGATATTACAAATTTTTATGTTGCGTAGTAAGATTTGCAATATTCATTTTGAAATAAGTTCAAAAAGAGCAACGTATGAATTTTTGCACCTAATTAATTTGATAGCCGTAATCATTTTAATTTAATCACATTTGTTCTTTTGTGCAAGTGTTAGTTTTCTTCTAATTTACAGGGTAAAACAATATTAATTTGAGACAAAATGTTTCCTATTTTTTGTTCAATTATAGCAGTCGCTACTTCAATGTTTATAAATTCGACTGAAATATGAGGTACTACTACCATAAGACACCAAACTACTTCATCCTAAACAGTTTATTTTGTTAATGTTTGCCTCCTATGCACATTTCCATATTTCAAATATAAAATAGTATATCTGCACCAAAGCTTCTGTTTAAAACATTTTTTAATGGTATATTCCTCCAGAGTTTAAGGTAAATGTCTGAATGTAGCCATATCTCAGGTTTAATTGTGATTTCGTAGATATACCTCGTTACATTCCGGTTGCTAGCGTTTTCTCTGCCAGATCAGTTCCATAGCTATGTGAAATTCCTTAGGGACAATTGTCTTAAGAACTGATGAGGAGTAGTACGAAAAGGAAGATGTTTGTTTGTAGCAGGGTAAAAAGATCAAACTTTCTATTTAGTAGTTTTTCTTTGAAAAGTTTTCTGGTTTAGTTTATTGTAGGAGAAAGCTGAAAATCACAGTATTCAATGCTATATTTTCACAATTTTCTTAAAGAATGATTCTCTTAGAAGAATGAAAAATTTTATTCATCCAATGCTTTGCTAATTTCTAGAGAATTTGATGTGTATTGAACGTAAACTTCTATGGTATATGTTTCAAATCATCTATCCACCTTTTTCATGTAAATTTCAAAAATGGTGCTACCTCATATTATTGTTAATATCCTTCTTTATAATCGGAGCTTTCTGTAAACTCAGAGATTCTTTTTTTAACTATTTTTCGAGCTATACCTATTTGCAACTTTTTTCCCATCTTTTTCCACCTAATGAAATGAATTAAAATTTCACGCAAAGTTTCTCCTAGATCCAAATCAAATTAAAACTTTTAGCAGTACTTCTGCACAATTTTTTCTTTTCGTTTCGTTTTCTCTTCAATGAAAAGTTCCCGTTTTCAAAGTTCAAAACGAGACGGTTCATCGCATTAATTCTGTATTAATAATATATAATTCGTAAACATATATACACTTGAGTTCAGTTATATGTATATTCGTTTTCTTATATTTGGTGGAAATTAAAAACAAGTTTAAAATTAGTGGGAAAGAAGGTGGATTCAAGAAAATTCTAACCTGAAATAATTGTTTCGTAAATGTATTTTAAATCCGGGTTTGATGATTTTTAAAATGAGTATTAGTCGGGATGTCAAGGATGCTTCTGTCTGTACACCAAATGATTGATAAGTATTCTTATATCAAAGATGCACATTATGTAAAATGCTACTATTGCTTATAATTATTGGTTTCAGTCTGTTCTCACTCGTTCAATGATCCAGCAATATGCTCAATCCTTATAAGTCAAACATTCGACAGCTCCTCACACTGAATTAATATGTATATATCAGTTCGGTGCGAGATTTTTAATTTACTGAAATTATGAGAAAAGTTGACTTCTTTTCATTTTCATCCTGTGAGGTTCTTTCTGGATTATGAATTTATGATATTTGCTTTTTTACTTGATAGCATTTTGATGCTATACATTAATATGGCTATTGATTTTCTTTAAAGGAATATACGCCATTTGTACAAGCTATTCAAATTTCCATTATCTCTCCTGCATCAGAATTTATTAAATATTAAACAGCAATTTGCACGAAAATTTTACAGAACAAATGATGTCATCTACAATATGCATCGTCGGGAATACTCATCAAAAAGAGATTGAAGTTTCTTGAAGTCTTTGGAGGAACATGTATCCTGAAATATTCAGTTCTTAGTAATGCATCGATTAAATTAGATAAAAAATATTAAAAAATCAAAAAGCTAAAAATATATGTGGGTTGGATGAGGTAGAGTAGATTTCCCAAAACTCCAGAGAAATTCGATAGTAATAGTTCAATAACTTAGAAGTAATTGTTTACTGATGGATCTCCAGTGATGGCAATAATTTGTTTCGTATCAGGCGGTACATTCTCATCTTCCACATATACCGCTTTCAACTCTATACCTCTACTATGAGCTGCTTGACTTGCTCCTGTTGTATCGTCCTGGAAAAAAATGCAAATAAATTCGTAGCATTAACATAATTCAGAAAAAAGGAACTCAACAGTTTGATACGATGACGGTACATTAAGCCAATAAAATCAACGAGCGGATTTTAGTTCATATCGTAAATTAGAGAGATGATGAAAAGTGAAAGCCAAAAAAATAAATGATATGGAAACTACTTGTGAATGTCCATCAGTAAAAATAATCATCATTTTTCTAGCATCCTTTCTTGCACCAAATTTTTCATCGAATTCATTGATTGCATAGTAAATAGCTTCACCGGTATGTGTTGTACCACCATTTGATGGTGTTTGATGTAAATCTTTGATAGCTTCTTCCGCTGTACTGTGTTTACGTAAATGAAATTGCGTACGTGCACGTTTCGGACCCGAATAATATATCGCAGCTACCTTGAAAATTGATTAAACGACGAGTGGTATATGGTTCACATAATGCAATTAGATTCTCGTTTTTCCAACTTCCTCAATTTTCGATTATAACGAATTTGTGTGTTGAAGGCACGCTTCTAATCATAAATTTTTTCAAAACCTTGGAATATTCTCAGTAGAGCTACAGAATCAAAAAATTCAAAAATTTTTTTAAAACCTCTGGTTCAAATCTTCATTTTTAAATTTTTTTTCAAGTTTATCAAATATTAACAGTTAAAGTTAAACTTTGAAAAAAATTAACTATAAAGATTTGGTCTAAAATGTTTTTTTAAAGAAAAAACGAACATGTGCAGATGTCTGATTAAGATTTAGAGACCTTATAAGGTTTGACACATAATCAATGTAAATGTCGCGTTTATCTGATGCTCCCCCGGAGAAATCCATCAAAAATACAACGTCTAGCAAACATTCTGTAATATTTCTCATAACAAGGTTCATTTTACATGAAATTAATTTCAATATTTCTCATTATCATTATTTGTAAGCTAATTCTTAATGAAGCAAACAAAAAAAAAATGGAGATGTTTACTTAAACAAACCTGGTTTGATTTTCATTTTTACCGGAATATTTCTAGTTGTACGAGTAGATATTGCTGATAAGGTGGCGATATTATTAGTGCTGATATTATTAGTCCTAATAGAACGTATGTCAACAAAACGAACTGATCGAAAATTAAGTTTAGCAGGAGTCTCATTTTTCGATCCCAACTTTTGAGAAGGTTTTGCTTTTTTAAGATTTTTCATTCTGCAAAAAGAAATATAGTTGAGAAGGGTGTGATCCATGAGCTGAATCATTAATTCATGTTTTTTTGTAATAAAATGATCAGAAAGTAAACAGTGAAAATGCAGCAGTCAAGTATTTTTTTAATTATATAATAAGAGATGAATACCTTATTATAGATTGTAATTTATTTGGCTAAGGTAATTTATTTGGCAAAATATAAATTACTCATTTATTCGACGTTTGGTTGCAATGGGGATAAAAGGTAGGGTAGTCTTCTTCTGAATGAAGGAAGTTTTCAAACCGAAGCATTCACTATATGGCTTTAATATATTCCGGGAGGCATTCTGCATTACGATATGTGATGAGTCATTGTTAACAAGAATTAATAAGCCTCGCCTGAAATGATCATTAAATATTGAATTAAAGAATAAGAGAACAAAATACTATGGTATCGTTTTAATTGATTGCTTTTTTTGTCACCAACGATTATGTTCACTATATAACCTTATTTCTTCCTGTTGTAATGAAATTTAAAATTATAAAAGACATTAATAATACTTAAAAAGAACTGTCAATTAAAACTGTTATCTTTAAATTTACATGTTGTGTAGCTTTGAAACAGTTGCAACAAAAAGTTGAACATTCGGTTTAGCGACAAGTCTTGCCACGTTCCGCTGCGCTTCCTCAGAATCTCTACAAAAAGAATCGTTTTTTTTTATCATTGTTCATCCGACACTATTTTAGTGGTACTTATTCCAATAAATGTTTAAGAATTAAAACTTAGCTCTTCAAGAAGCTCAAAGAATCGCTGTTGGAGAGTTTTTCGCTGTTGGAAAACTCTTTCATAATATGAATCCAAAAATTTGAGAATTTCGTTTAGTTGGAATGCTCTTCTTTTATTATTATTTATTATTATTATTTCTTTCCTTTTTTCATCCCATAAATTATTTTAGCCATTGACAAAAAAATCATTTAGTAATTAAAGAAAGAATAATAAAGAATTAAGTATTTCAAATTAGAAGATGAAAATTCTGAAAAAAAATTAATTAATTGTCAATTTTCTTCCATATTTATTTACACCGTGTAAACCCAATTTTTTTATAAAAGGAGATCACCAATTCATTTCATTTTTTGATTTCTTTAGATGTATTTAATACCATGCAATAAAATGTAAAAATTAGGGCCATACTCATGTAAATGTTTAAAACAAAAACTCCTTTGTTTCACTTCCTTCTACTTAAGACTTCAGAAACTAAACTTAAAACATTTGAACTATATCAGCCTGTAAGTTCTTCCTTTTCCAGAAGGGTTTTATCTGATTCTTTCGCCTAATATTTTACGATTTCATAATCACATCGCATTCCAATTTCTTTAATATATTTTCTGTCACAATGTCAGTGATTAATGATATAACCTGTAGTAACCATCAGTGATTACAAATACCAAAAATGGCGAGCCAGGTCGAGCTTGAGGCAGAAATTCATGAAGTACAACACCGAGAGCTCGCCCTGTATCTGTTGTCCCTCGGATATGAGATAAGTTCTGGATCACTTTTTCCATTTCATCATTTGTCTATAGTTTTAAAATAATAACATAACGATAAGTTTAAAAAAAACCGCCTTGTTTAAGTGAAATTTAAATGAAACTTGTATAAGAATTTGCAGAAAATATTTTCAGACAAAACTTTTTGCAACGATTTGAGGAAAAATACTCTCTGAATGAATTCGGTAAAACACAAAACCTTTCATGCTCATTTAATTACCTTAATCTGATCGAAAGGATATCGCAGCCATTTAGTGAGGATTGCTTTGCTACTAAATTCCAAAATTGCTATCCGATGTCCTTTTTTCTCGATATCAAATTGCTTTGCCACATCATTGGTCATGCTGATCATTTGCTGAACAATTTTCCAAAAACTTTTCATTTTTCATTTAGCAAATTTTTTTTAATTTCATATGTTATGAGCAAATATCATAACCAGATCTTCCGCTATCCGTCTTTATGATTTGAAGAATACTTCCCCCAAAGCTGACACACTTACTTCCTTTCCAATTTGAGATTCCAACCAAACTCTAGCAAGTTAATTTCTTTTATCCGAAGTTATCAAACCTCGAATTCTTGTTTAACGCTACCGGAACCATCCAAAACGAAAACTATATCGACACACGATTTTGAATGTTCAATTGTTTGAAAAAGTAAAATAAACCAAAAACACTGTGCCGATGACATTGTCATCTTATACACACCACATCCAATACCAAATATTTTTCACTGATTGATAGAACAAAAAAAAAGTATCTGGAAAGATTTTGCTCTTTCAAAGAAATGAATATATTTTATAAAATGGCAGGAAACAAAAACAATCTACAGTTTCAAACACGTGTATTATGAACAAATATATTATGACCAATAACATTTGCTAATACTGCAACACCAATCGCATTAAAATATAACCAAATGCAATGAAATTATTACGAATTCGATAAGAAATTAAGCTGAATTATCATTTTCTATTATATCATTATTGAAAATAAAAACTTCAGCAAACCAGGAAAAAATTGATAAATTCTATCTCGCTTATCCACCCGGTTCGTCCTTTCACCTTCTTCCTACTTTCAATCTTAAGATACTGAAAGGAAAAAAGTGAATGAATGGAATGAATCGTCTTCATTTTCCTGTTTTCAAATCAATTTTCATACAATTCATTTCTCTTCTTGAGATATCTAAATACCCAAATATTTATCAGTAACATCTTTCCCATCACCAATCCCTCTTCACTATCGCGACATCATCCCTATTTTTTTCATTCTTTTATTTTATCATTTCACTGTTAATTTAAATCTTGTTTTTCTCAATATTTATTGAAGCTTCAGGACTTGATAGAAAAAAAACATCGCGGAGATTTCTTTTTACAGTAGAAGATGCAATGCAAAAAAAACCCTTGATCAGCAAAAAATTACGCATCAAAATTGAAGATATCCTGCCTTTGTTGTGTTTGTACACATTTCCTAATAACAATAAAATGGTTGCTTCAAAAGACCTACAAATTGAAGCTTGCAAGAAGCATCTTTTTATGAGAAAATATAGAAGTTAAAGCTAGACAGCTAAACAGACTGACGTTTTAAAATAATATAGTTGAATTGAACGAAAATAGTAAGCAATGTAAAATATTCAGGAACTCATGTCCAACTTTTTCAAGGAGATTTCATGACAAAGTAAAATTGACCAAACTTCTTGCTAACCCTACCTTCTGCAACTTCTATTCTGACCATTCACCAGTGGGTATGCTCCTATAAATTCATCAACGGAGTCTCAGTTATTAAAAACAATCATCATAACTCTAAACAGAACGACATTCTAAAAATGCTGATATGCAACCTTAAACTTGAACTCCATTGTCCTTTCATGTCTTTAAAAATTTAACGAAATGGCATAAACTTTTACCAGTATGTCACCATTACTATTTAAGTGATATGATACAGGTGAATTTAGATGAGTTCGTAACGGTCAGTGAATATTATTCGCATTCAGCATATTGAAAGAGATCCAGGAAGATCATCGATGGTAAATGCAATTCACAACATCTCAGAGAAAATGAAGAGCACATCATGCTCAATAGCTTCAAGCATTTAGAAATGGCACTGCTGATCAAATTAACGAAGATTTTAATATACTGTGTACACCGTAAAGAATACATCCAATGGCGATCAACGTTTGGAAAAAATGCATAACTACACGAAAAAAATATTTACTTCTGCTAAAGAGGGAGATTTTAATATAAATTTATAAAAAAAGTTGGGAAAAACGAGCCCCATAAAAACAAAATTATAAATGAAAAGTTTTTTGTGAAAGAGATGAATCTATGAAACTATATAATAAAACAACGATAATCTTAATGCATTTATTCCACAATGATAATATTGATTTTAGTGACCTTAGGACAGGAAAATTAAATACAACTAAAAACTTTTCACCTCTTGACAAAAATTGTAACTGGTTTTTATAATCATGGATCAATGACGTGCTTGAAAATAAAGAGTGATTAAAAATTCATTTTATATTACGATAATGGAAAAGAATGACAAAACAGAAAAAGGAAAGATTGAGAGAGCTCTTCATGAATCATCTACTGAATACATAGCATTTCCAAACGATGAAATATGTCATTTCTGACTCGAATAATGTCACAGCCGTTACTAAATTACAATATTAAAACTCTCATAAAAGCTTAAAAAACCTCGAACTTTATTAGGAAGACAGAGTTAAACTCGCTTATAAGCAAGAATAAAAATCAGGTATCAGTCGCGATAACCCAATCCATTGTTCTCAGAATTAAAATACAAGAACATTTTCAAAACAGCAATCTCATAAGTTCCTTCTTATTCTTTTAATAACAGGAGTTTGATGTTGTATGCTGTTAAATAAATTATATTTAGCTTGACCAATAGTATCAAGTTCTGACAGCAGGAAAACTAAGAAAATTCAGAAAAAAGCAATCCAATCAGGAAGAAAAATAAAACAAAATACAATAATTCACATCACAGCTGAATCAATGTAATGAGAAATCTTTTTTCAACGAAAACAATAGAAACTGAAAAGTAGCTATAAGGGGGAATAAAGAGAATATTATGGGGAAAAAGTTAAAAAATGTGTTTTTTGACTGTCTAAAAGATATATCGCATAATAACAGTCATTGCTGAAAGAAGAAATATATTTCAACAACTCTTAGCAGCAGCCACCACTCTTCTTTTCATTTACAGGCTGAGATCCCCCGATACGTACTGATGGGCCTGTACCAACTTGTTGAACTGGGCCCATTCGGTTTTTTATTTCGGATGCCATTGTTAAAAATGCCTAAAATCGATTGATAATATCATTTGCAATAATAACAAATGATCAAAGAATATAGCAAGAGAAATGAAATATAGGAAGATGCAAATAATGACATACGATTTTAACTCATTTAGAAAATCAAAAAGACTATTGTTGCAATACCGAAAAAAAGTTGCCTTAAAACGATGTTTTAAAACACAAAAAATGAATAACGACTAAATCACTGGCTAATTCCGACAACTAAGTAACATCAACAAAATATATTTGTGTAAACAAATAGTAACATTTGGTGTATATGATGCTATTGATTTCATATATCTGAATGCACCTCGGTAGCAAATCTGTATTTAAAAAAGAAAAGAAATTTGCTTACTTGCTCGACGTTCGTTGATGATTTTGCGGATGTTTCCAAAAACGGAATTCCCAACTGATCAGCATATTCCTACAATAAAATAAATTCTGATTTCAATTATCTAAATGTAGATTAATTAACATAAAAACTTACTATCTTCAAAAAATGAATACAAGAAGCGGCAATTAGTTTTACAAAAGACTTTCAATCATGCACAATACACGACATTCTTCCATCTCCTCATCTTTTTTTGCTTTCATCTCTCCTCACTAACTTCTGTTAATTTTTTTTCTTGGCCTAAAGAAGCTTTCGACACAGTTAACAATGGCATCGTTCCACATGTATATATGAATAATATATTAAAACCAAAAAGCCTTAGTTGCAAAGAAAACCCTATAAAGCGTTGAATCCAGTAAGCAAAGAGAAAATGCTGTAGGAAAAATGCGATTTCAACTGAAATATAAGGCAAAGACTAATCAACCAATTTATCGACATTACTTATAACTCCATATGACAGCTGTCTTATTTACATCATTAACTAACTGTTCTGTTCTAATTCAATTTCTTACAGGTTTCAAAAGCAACACTTCCTTCAACTCTCATAAGCAAGTTCAAAATAATCTTATCCGAATCAACTTTTTTTAGAAGGATAAATTTTATGGCATTAAGCCGAGATAATTATCAAAAACGTTCAGAAAAATATTTTCATGCATGTCTGTATAGTATTAAACAATTGGGCGTCTCTCCCCAGTCAGAGTTCCATGCAGTAAATACCAATTAATGAAAATATTAAAACATCCAGGTTTGAGTTTTTTAAGCAAGTAACATCCTGATAATAGTAGTAAGTGGCCCAAAACGCTTGTTAAAGTAAATAAATAAATGTCTAGAATTTCTAATTTATGTTGCACTGTTAGAATTTATTATAGACGGTTTAGGAGAAATACCCAATTTTTTTACTCTAAATAGCACCAACTACGGTGGCAATAAAGTTTTTAATTTCAAGATCTTTTATATACATCCCCTTTCAATGGCAACAGAAGCAACTTGGAACTTTTCTAAATACCTTTCACCTAATAATGTATAAAAAGCTTGCTTATCTGCTCAATATTAAGAACAAATGTGTGAATTATGACTTAAACAAATTCTCCAAAGAGGAAAAAAGTGTTTCAAAAGAAAAAACTCAAATTTTAAATATATGATAATAGGGGAATTTCGTGGCCAATAAAGAGACAGCTGCTGTCAGCACAAGTGGAAACAATTGACTTAAAAACAAAAAACTCATTATGTTAAAAAAATTCTAATTACAATAAATTACTGAGAAAAAAATTTATATCAGCATACATTGAATGTGCTATATTTAAAAACAATGGAAACTTTTTTTTAATTTGTCAGTTTTCAGCAGCATTTTTCGTGAAATGCCAAAAGAAAACGAGGAACCTTGGCAGCGCTTTGTTCGACTGCCCTTCTCGTTGTTAAATCACATTTATTTCCAACAAGCAATTTATTGACATTCTCGCATGCATACCGATCAATCTCTTGTAGCCACTGTTTCACATTGTTGAATGACTCCTGCAATAAATTTTTCATATGTATGAAAAGCTCGTTCCGTATTTGTCCTAAAACAGTCTTTATCCCAAGTTTTCTGTTCAACAGTACGTGACGGAAATGAACGTGGAGGTTCGCATCGTAGAAGATAAATTCAGACAATCGATTACGACCTATATAGTAGATTACTTCGTGAATCGACAAAGAACTTCAAAGAAAACATTACGCAAAATAACCTGATCGGTAATGTCATATACAACAATGATACCGTGAGCACCTCTATAATAACTGGAGGTAATTGTACGGAATCGTTCTTGTCCTGCTGTATCCCACTGCAAATAATTAACCTATTTTGCGTTCCATACTTATGAAACTTTCCTGTTTGTTTTTAGCCTCTTTATGACTCATATATATATATAGTTCCTAGCACCGACACATTGACTTATTCATTGAAACTGGTCCATATAAGTGAACTTGTATGAAGTTTTGAGGAAGGTCCTGCAGC